TGCTGAAACATGTTAGACATGAATTCTGTTTCTCTGTCTGTTTGTAGCTGACATACATTTTGATTATACCTCCTCTCTATAAACACTACCCACTGCTTAAATTGTTGAAACACTTGTTTTGCTTTTTAGTAAATAACAAAACCAATGTCTAGAGAAATTATCAACAGTTACCAAAGCAAATTTGGTCTCTCCCGTTGATGGGAGTAGAGGGCCAATTTAATCAGCATGCACTAACTGAAAAATCCTGTCAGATTTCCTTTCACTTCTTTTGCTGACAAGTATACTTTTGATTTGACCTCCTTGCAAATAGCACAATATAATAGTTATCACAATCTTTTACGTTTAAACCTACACCCAAGTCAGGCGTTTTCCACAATACTTTAAAGCTTGCATGACCCAGCCTTCTGTGCAATAAATGTGCACACCCATTATGCTTTGGTTCATTAGAAAATATTGTCTGTACACTGCCACCAGTTTCCTTGTGGTTCAAAATATATAAATTGTTCAGTTTCAAACCTTGTGCACACACCCTGTTATTCTTTATGACTTTGCATGTACCCTTTGCAAAAATTACCTCATACCTTTCATTGCCTAAGCAAGACACAATCAGAAAATTGTGATCTAAATCTGGTACATATAAATCTTATCAATTTACCAATACATGGTACATATACTGTTCCTTGCCCTTGTACAAAAGAATGATTACCATTTGCCAGGCTTACATATTCCTAGGCAGCAGGTCTCAGACAGGAAAAAAGCTATGGGTTATTTATAATATGCTCACTAGCCAATAACCAATAACTAGTCCAATAACCAATGTCTTTGTTGTTGTTTTTTGTTCGCCTACACCACAGAAATCTGTTTTCTTTCTTTGATCTCTGTGCTTTCTTTCTCCTGCTGGAATCTTTTAATCTTCTTATTCCTCCCATCATCAGGTAAATCACAGAGAGCATATAGGGCACACAGGGCAAAAAAGCAGGAAACAAGAAAGCTCTCAGTAACAAATTACAACTCAGATTCCCTCATGCAGTGGCCAGCTCTCTTTAACCAATTAGCTATAAGTGTGTGTTAATACTCATTGTTCAACACTTCACTGCTCCAGGTATTAAATTTTAAATATCTTAACACTTGTTTTCAAATCTCGAAAAACATGCATAATAACAGGCACGAAAACCAGGTCCACATGTGAAGGTCCAATTAAACTGATTTATTACTAAAAAGCCTATGCACAGGAATCTTCTCAACTAATGGTTAGTACCTGCTTGGAGTTAGTTGAGTGTCAACAGAATTCAAGGGGCAGTTGGACTTAGTCTGCTTGTGGCTATGTGGCGAATCTAGGCTGTTCCCTCTTTTATTTCCATTCCCAGGTTCTGCCACTCCTTCTCCTAAACACACTTTTCTTCATTCCAGGAAATGGAAATGTAAGACAATTTTTATAAGATCTATAAATCTAGCTATAGTTCAGTTTGGGGTAGATAACTATAGAGTAATGTATTTCACTGCATGCATTTCTAAAACTCATTTTTTAGGTATATCGACAGGATTGTGAAACTTTTGGTGCTGTGGTAAAGATGCTGATCGAAAAAGACCCTGCATTAGAAAAACCCATTCAGTTTTCTTTGAGACAAAATTTGCATGAGATTGGTGAGCGATGTGTCGAAGAACTTAAACACTTCATTGCAGAATATGATTCTGCGAGTCAAGAATTTGAAGAAACGTAAGATAAATTATGGGTTACTCATATATAAAGGCTACCTGATTCATCGATGCTAATGATCTAAATTTGTTCATCTTGCATTTGATCTCTTCATAAAATTGAATTAATTGCAAAACATACAATATTATTTACTTAGTTGGTTCCGTTTGGAAAATATATTGAATATATAAAATTCAATTCATGTCAGCCATATTTTGAAAATCCTTAACAAAAAGAGCTGCTCCAATTATTGAAACAGGTTGCTATTTGAGTATGACTGACCATTTGGTAATTTTATTGATATTGATGAATGTATATAAAATAGTAATGTGCACCTGTATTTATATAAAATTTACATATGTGTTGCCTTTAATTAGAGTAGCTATATAAATTTGATTGGAAACCATTGTTTGGACAGTTCCATTAAGCTAGTTGTTTAGCTTAATGGTTTTGTAAGTTCAAATAGCCTGTATAATTAAACTCCTTCAGAGTTGTATCAACATTTGCATTTTCTTGAAAGCTTTGTACAGTTGTATAAACAATATTTGTCTTTAATAGTAATGGAAAATATATATTCTTATTCTCTTCTGGAGTTTCTGTAATTTCCAGTACACTATGGGATATTATTTTTAGAAATGGGTCTAGTGAAGGCAGCAGAAGTGTTTTCAAAATATAAGAATTGTGTAATTCATCATTTCACAAATAGTACAGTAATTCAAACAAGATGATACTTCCCATAATTGTAGGATAGAAGAGTAAGTAAGCTCATAATTGCAATTCAATTGCAATTGCTGAACTTTATCCAACATCACTTTGTTATATATTACTGTTACAATTTGAGACTAGGCTACTGGAAAGGATTCTTCCCAGAATTGCAACAAGGTTGGTTACATTCACATATCATACTTGATAAAATGATTGACTGCCACATGGACAGCAGGATTATCTATTACAGTTCAAGTGTACTTTCCACATGTAATATACAGAACAATTTTGGTTTTGTAAATTGAAATGTTGTTTACCCATGGTTAGGTGTAAGATTATTTAATCCTAAAGTAACAAAAAGTAAGTTTCCTCTGTTTAAATAGATGGGTGATTTGGAGGCAATACTTCCTGTATTCATAAGAATGGAAAGAAACATGATATATGTTTGTTGTTTAAACCCATAAAAATGGATAAACATACAGATGTGCTTCTGAACACATCAATCTGTCCCTCAGTTTGCCTTAGTTAACTAATGACCAGTGAAAGGGACTGTGAAAGTTTTAACTGAAAGCAGCTAGAACATACTATATTACATTTCAGTGTTCTGAGCTATACACAGAATATGGAAATAAACCAAATTTATAAATTATGTAAACAAATGCCCCCAGAAATTGTGGGCGTTCCATCACTGGAGATTTTTTAAAAGAGGCTAGACAGTCACTTGTCTGAAACAGTATAGGTTGTCCTGCTTGAGCAGGGGGCTCGACTAGAAGGTCTCCAAGGTCCCTTCCAGCTCTATTCTATTCTAATGACAGAAAGCCAGTTATTAGAAACTGAGTTAAAGAATTGATCTCACTAACTAAATAGAAATAACATTCAGCAAAAGCCAGTAAAAAATTATATCACTTGCATGCTGATGGAACCTGAGCCTACTTAAGATAGGCTCAATAAACAAATCCATATCATATTAAGCAAAGAAGCTACAAATGTAGATTTGAACTGAGTGGACCATTAACCATTCTTAGTAGAAAGCATGGTATAATTTTATTTAGTTGATCTTAGAAATAACATTCTGCTGATTGTGAAAACATTCACTTTTTTTGTTGTTAGAAGAATATATTGGACGATTTATTAATCTGAGATCAAAGTAGGATGAGATTAATTTACTCATCAGAATCAGCTTTTATGTACTGCTATTTAACCAAGCAGGATATACCAATGTATCCTGTACAAATCACCTTTTAACAAAGCAATATGTTATCTATTTTAGGTTTAGAACCTAGCATTGAAATTTAGCTTAAAGTATAATGTTTAGCTCAATTTATACATGCCAGTTTTACTTGTTTAATTTACACAAAGTTTATTGACCCATAAATAATTATTTAATATTGTGAACCATAGCTGAAACATTATTTACATAGCTGCACCATGCAAACATAGCTTTACTAGCAAAAATTAAACATTTCATTATAAATGTATGAATATTTAACAAACTCCTGCCTAAACCAAACTGATCTTAAACCTTCTAACAAAATTATTTGTCTATCTTAAACAAATGCCTTGTAATTCAGGAATATAAAAATAGTTGAATAAATCTTAATTTTACAATATATACATTAATTGCACTGTTAAGTTATGAATAGAGGAAACTGTAAAATACTACATAATAAATCTCTGATAACTCTTAATTGCTGCTCGTATTACATTTGAAACTTGAAATACTGTTCCAAATATATGGGAGTCTCACATATTTTCATAAATTTTAATTTAAGCAAATTCAGTGACATCTTATTTTGAAAGCAGGGATTATTAGCTCACATCACATTAGTTTTTACAAGTTGTAAATTATAAGCAAAATTTGCCTGAGATTCACTCCCATGAAGATATAAAAGAATGGTCAATTTAAGAAGAAGCAGTTTAATGTCTAGCACAGAACCAGGTAATCATTGCTTGGCATCAAAATGGTTGGGTTACATTAAACATACATATAGGGAAAAGAAACTGCAAAAATCAGATTATTTGCACATAACATTAAATGGGCAATCATTACTGTCAATGGTCATATTCCCTCAGAGAATAATCTCTCTGACGCATCATGCCATGAATAGGACCACCATTTTTCTTTTTTTCTTTTTGAAAAGACAAATTAGATTGGATAGCTTGTTTTTGCCAGAAGCTTGAATTGTTCCTTTGAAAAATGTATTCCTTTTATAAAATATTGCATTTCTCCCTTCAAAACAGAAACTTTTGAAATTAGGCCAGGATCTATCTAAAATATTAATTCTTCATACTGTTCATCTCTGTGTGGAAAGCTACCCAGTTTCCATCATCCCTATTGATCATGTTAACAGAGCTGATGAGAACAAAAATCCCATAAAATCCAGACTCATCTCTGATTTAGTATTATATCCATAAACAAGGAAGACTGTGTCCTGAGCCTGGCGTTCATATACTCTTTTCATATAATCAGAGGGAAAATTTCTAACGTTGGTTTATTTTCCTAAATCTCAAGTTGTATGCAAACCAGAATAGTTCTAAAGAAGGTAATCAATGTCAAAGGTTTATTTTTTATTTTTTGATGTAGTGTCTTAAACTGCTTTCAAGCCTTGATGAAGAACATGGACAAAATTTATCCATGTTACAGGTTTTGCTGACATTATTTAGTTACACAAGATTTGAAACACAGTGTAGACACGAAGTTTATAGGCAGTACATTTTTGGAAATTATACACTTTTTGCCTTTGTGCGCTTTCCTTTTTTTAGATTTTGTTATCTGTCTAAGTTGGGTAGTGGGAAGTTCAGCACTGGGACTAGAAACAAAATCTGCATAGCAGGGATATCTCACAGATCTTGGCTGTGGAATGGGTTGTCCTAAAAAATATCCTTCCTCTTCAGAATCTGAAGATGATGAAGATGAACACCAAGAATCTTCGTCCTCACCCAAAAATTCAAAAAACTGATCTCTTGGTTTCCCCGTTGCATAATCAGGCGCAAGATGATTATATTGGCTGAAAAAAGTTGGAGTATATGCCCAAACTGCCTGAGGCTTTTTATTCTGAATAAATGCATTATAATCCTGAGGGGAATAAAAATTAAGCCTTTGTTTTGGAAAAGGTTTTCTTTCTGCAACCAGATGAAGTGCATTGTCAGATCGAGACCTTCTGTTCCTTTGATGATGTTTCTTTCCATGGTCTTCAAACTGATAAACACGTCTGCGAGTCCTTTCACTCATAGGAGATTGGTGAATATCAAGATTGTGATAGTTTCCATTATCAATGACATCTGAAAATTTTACTTGCTGAGGCCTAATCTGTGATTTGGATCTTCTTAATAGTGGCACATGCATTGATTTTTCTTCTGGCAGTGTCTCAGCCTGACATAATTCAGAACTTACACTTCTCAAAGACTCAGTACTTCTATGAAGCATTGATGAATTCAGAGTTCCCATGTTGCTCATTTTCTCACAATCCTCTGCCTCTAGCTCCTGATAGGTTTCAAAGGAGTACAGAGAAGGTCTTGGTTTGATTTCATTAATTGAAACATCTAAGAATTAAAAGAAAAAAGTAATTTTAGTTGAAAAAATTATCCAGTTAAATTCTAAAAATGTAATTTAAGTTTATTAAAAAGCCACATTTGGATTTTGAATGTGGAATGTGTGAATTACTTATCTATTCAAATTTTTCCTTCATCAAACCCAGTGCAAGGAGAACAAGACAACAGTATAATGTATCAGATTTCTGAATTATTTCAGTGATAACTAACTTGGTGATATCACATCTTTTTTACATCGTGGTGACCAAAACTGGATGCAGTATTCCAAGTAAGGCCACACTTGGAATACTGCATCCAGTTTTGGTCACCACGATGTAAAAAAGATGTTGAGACTCTAGAAAGAGTACAGAGAAGAGCAACGAAGATGATTACGGGACTGGAGGCTAAAGCATATAAGGAAAGGCTGCTGGAATTGAGTATGTCTAGTTTAATGAAGAGAAGGACGAGGGGGGACATGATAGTAGTGTTCCAATATCTCAGGGGCTGCCACAAAGAAGAGGGAGTCAAGCTATTTTCCAAAGCGCCTGAAGGCAGGACAAGAAGCAATGGATGGAAACTAATCAAGGAGAGAAGCAACCTAGAACTAAGGAGAAACTTCCTGACAGTTAGAACAATTAACCAGTGGAACAACCTGCCTCCAGAAGTGATGAGTGCTCCAACACTGGAAGTTTTTAAGAAGAGACTGGACAGCCATTTGTCTGAAATGGTATAGGGTTTCCTTTCTGAGCAGGAGGTTGGACTAAAAGACCTCCAAGCTCCCTTCCAACATTATTATTATTATTATTATTATTATTATTATTATTATTATTATTACATGCATATTTCAGAATAAAATGAATTGCCTTTCCCAATAGCTATAGATGTTAAACAAAATTGACAATAAAATTTTGAAATAACATTTGATTATTAGTGATAACTGAAATTGCTGGTTTCAAAGCAAGTTTCTTAGTGAAACCACCTCTTTCAACATAAGCATGATTTTCCTTCCACAATCAGGTGTTGACTATCACTAGGATTCAGTTGCTTATTCCCCTCCCTGATAGCCTGAACCAACAATGAAGAGCAAGATCCTCTAAGTAACAGAACTGATATAACAAAGGACGTTGTCCACTTTCTTAACAGTATAGGCTAAAAAATTATTCCAAGTAACCACAAGGTGTTACTCTTGGATTCTGACCATCTGACTTCCAGTTCAAAGCAATTATATCCATAAAGTGTCCAGCTCATTAGTCAAATGTTTACTGATATAATCATAAGAGGTTCAAGAGGGAAGCTTCTACTCTATTGCCGTCTTAGCAATAGAGTAGAAGCCATGGCTAGAAAAAAGACTGTCCAATTAGAGTGGAATTAATTTTTATTTATTCATTCAATTTGTATAGTTAACCATCTATTGTGACTCTGGGCTACCCACAACAATTAAAAACAACAGCAAGAATAATAAAAAATATGAAAAACTATATCACCATACTAAAAGTTCTATTAAAACAATTTGCTGATAGCCTGCATTTACAGAATTAATCTTATTTTCCTTGATTTTTTGTTGAAGCATGATAACGTTGGCATCAACAGCCAACATTGATGCTGTTAGCCTGAAATGTGGGCCTGAAATGTTCTTCTCATCGGGATAGTAATTTAAAAATAATAGGCATAACTCTAGGGATCTCAGATTCTACAAATAAGCTAAAAGTCAATTATCAATTGAATCATGACAGCCATTCAAAAGGAGATTTAACTTGTTCCTCAGGTTAAAAACATGATTTTGTAATTAAATAGCTTCAACAAATATTTTTTGCCAGTCAAGATGCAAGCTTACCTATATGTTCCCCACAAGTCTCACAATATTCTGCATAAAGAGATTCAAAGCAGCCACAGCACAATGGGTGTCCATCCTTCATAATATACCTCTGTCCTCCAAGAATGGTTTCACACTCAAGGCAACAGAAGTGTTTCATGTGCCAGTGACGACCTTCTGCTTCTGTACATTCAACAGCAAAAATGATCTATGGTAAGTGGGGAGGAAATAGTTTAGTTTTTAGGAGTTTCTCTTATTTCTCACTCTTTTGGGGGGGATAATGATTTATCCTTAAAATAGTGGAGATAAAACATTTTAATGGTAGTCCTCAACTTATGACCAGTTTCTTAGTGACCATTCAAAGTTACAACCTATCTGAAAAGGGAGACTTACAACGTGGTTCCAAAGTTCCAACAGAGTTCCCCCACAGTCACATTACTGCACTTCAGGCACTCACAATATGGCCACATTTACAGCTGTATGCAACATCTTATGGTCACGTGAATGCATTTTACAATGGTTTTGCCAAAAATGGCAATTCTGACTTCTGCCTATAATGTGCTATAATGAATAATTGGTTTGCTTAATGAACACAGCATTTGCTTAATGACCATGGCATTTGTTTTATGACCACTGTCTTCACGTAACCACTTCACACAAATTGCAAAACCAGGTTGGTCATATGACAACTCATTTTACAACTGTTATGACTTACAACAGGCTCCATTACAGTCATAATTCAAGGATTATCTGTATAAATAAGGTATTCAGTTCAGAGATTCTAAAGGATCTTTAAAACCATTCCCCTTGTTGAAAGTAACTTAATGAAAATTAATAGAAGCAGAATATATTAATAATATATTTGATCACTAGTGTACCACTTCTACAACTTCTTTGTCTACTTACTGATATACTATCATTTTTAACTCTTTCCTCTTTTTTCTTTTTTCTAATTTAAAATAACAAAAAAAGGGGAAGGGGCAAAACTCACACATAAGACTGTCATATACAATCCAACAGTATTCTTGCAAGTTACATTTCTTCAATTTAATTATTACTTTTACTAGAAGCAATGCATAACAATGTATGTGAAATTTAGTTTTTAAGTGATGTGGGGAATTATTTTTGTCCCAAAGGGTATATGTGGTGATATCAGATGATAAGTCATAATCAAATGCACTCACAGAAGACTCTGTTCCTTCCAAGATACTTAGCAATTGATACTTAGTATTGGGTACCTGTGGACAAGACTTCTCCCTTTTAGCAGCAGCAATTTTTGGTACAGGTAGCAATTAGGAAATAAATGCTGGCAAGGTATGTTAAAAGAGAGAAATAATTATGTCACATTACTTCAACAGTATAAATGGTTTTCCACCCACCCAATGGTATTAGTAATGGCCAATGAATGAATATCAAGAACTATGGTCAATTTTAAAAAAAACTCTCCCTTTTTACAACTCTGTAGTCCCTATTCGGGGTGTGGGTGACTGAATGGAGCTGAGCATTTGGGTGACTGGAGCTGAGCGTTTACTGGCTGGATGCCCTTTCTGCCACCCATGTGGAGTTCGCAGCAGATATTTTTTCTTTGTGCTCTAAGGGAGAAACATCTGTCGCTGGAGGTGAGAGTCTTCACCACTAGGCCTCCATGCCGGTCATAGTCAATACAATATAAATTATATGATATATTAAGTTCAGCGCATATTGCTAAGAATTATTATTTATGGTAATTTATAATCTCTTATAAAAATGTATAAGAGAAGAATTAGAAAGCCAGTTTGGTCTAGTGATTAAGGCACAGAGCTAGAAAGCAGGAAACTATGAATTCAAGTCTCGCCTTGGCCATAAAAGCCAGCTGGATAACCTTGAGCCTGTCATTCTCAGCCAAAGTGGTGCAATAGGAGGATGTGTTGGATGTGTTCTCCACCTTGAGTTATTTGTAAAGATAATAAAGCTGGGATATAAAATAAGTAAAAATAAATTATTCTGTTTAAGTATCTTGAAGCAAAACTTCTATGCAGAGATAAGCCCTAATATTGGATATGCTCCCAATCCATGTATTATACTTGAAAAACAGTTTCCGGTTTGAGCTAAAATTTATGTTTGATTTACTTTTAAGGTGCAAACTTATTTTAATATCAAAGTATACTCCCACAACTTGGTTAGCCATTTTTCCATTGAAGGGTTCAGACATTTCCAATAAGAAACACATAATATCCTTGCAGCAATTATCATAAAAATCTACATATACAGTATTTTGAGGGGATATATAGTTTGACAGTGTAATAAGAATAGTTTAAGCTCAAATGAATCTTGAGCGTTTAAGAATGGTTTCATTCTGAATCATTTTACAGAATTGTTGAGTTGTACAGCATTAAATCTTAATGCCAAATATGAGAAACAAAGAATGTTCAAACTATCGCACCATTGCACTCATTTCACATACTAGTAAAGTTATGCTTAAAATCCTACAAGCTAGACTTCAGCAGTATGTGGATCGAGAACTACCAGAAGTACAGGCAGGATTTCGAAGAGGCAGAGGAACTAGAGATCAAATTGCCAACATACGCTGGATCATGGAGAAAGGGAGTTCCAGAAAAACATCTACTTCTGCTTCATTGACTATGCTAAAGCCTTTGATTGTGTGGATCACAACAAATTGTGGCAAGTTCTTAAAGAGATGGAAGTACCAGACCATTATTTGTCTCTTGAGAAACCTATAGGCGGGTTAAGAAGCAACAGTGAGAACTGGACACGGAACCACTGATTGGTTCAAAATTGGGAAAGGAGTCCGGCAAGGCTGTATACTGTCGCCCTGCCTATTTAACTTATATGCAGAGCACATTATGAGAAAGACAGGGCTAGATTAATCAAAATTTGGAATTAAGATTGCCGGGAGAAATATCAACAACCTAAGATATGCAGATGATACCACTCTAATGGTAGAAAGTGAAGAGGAACTAAAGAGCCTCTTGATGCGGGTGAAGGAGAGTGCAAAAGTTGGCTTGAAACTCAACATTAAGAAAAGCATGGCATCCAGCCCTCTCAATTCCTGGCAAATAGATGGGGAAGAAATGGAGGTAGTGACAGATTTTATCTTCCTGGGCTCCAAGATCACCTCAGATGGGGACTGCGGCCAAGAAATTAAAAGACGCTCCTGGGGAGGAAAGCTATGGCAAATCTAGACAGCATACTAAAAAGCAGAGACATCAAACTGCCAACAAAAGTGCGTATAGTCAAGGCCATGGTTTCCCAGTTGCAATGTATGGATGCGAAAGTTGGACCATAAGAAAGGCTGAGCGCAAAAGAATTGAGGCCTTTGAACTATGGTGCTGGAGAAGACTCCTGTGAGTCCCTTGGACTGCAAGGCGTTCAAACTGGTCAGTCCTAGAAGAGATCAACCCTGACTGCTGTTTAGAAGGCCAGATCCTGAAGTTGAAACTCAAGTACTTTGGCCACCTAATGAGAAGGAAGGACTCACTGGAGAAGGGCCTAATGCTGGGAAAGATTGAGGGCAATAGAAGAAGGGGACGACAGAGAATGAGGTGGCTGGATGGAGTCACCGAAGCAGTAGGCATGAACTTAAATGGACTCCAGAAGATGGTAGAGGACAGGAAGACCTGGAGGAACGTTTTCCATGGGGTCGCGATGGGTCGGACACGACTTCACAATTAACAACAACAACAACAACAACAATTTTTTGAAGATAAACTATCCTGTTTAGCAATCAAAACTGAAATAAATAAAATATTTTTCTCTGAGTATAATGTTCTGAGTAAATTTAATTACCGTATATACTCGAGTATAAGTCGACCCGACTATAAGCCGAGGGACCTATTTTTCCACAAAGAACTGGGAAAAAATGGTGACTCGAGTATAAGCCGAGGGGGCATTTTTCAGCACACACATTTTTCCGCCTGGGCTAATCGGCCTCTTTGCAACCCCACCCCTCTGGTAACCGCGCGATTGTAGCACTTTGCACAAAGGAGCAATAGTTGATAACACGCCCCATGTCAGCTGGAAGGGTATTCTTGGATAGTGAGAAGCTGGAAACGGGCGGGCGGGCGAGAGAGGCGGGCCGAAAAAAGAAAGGGGGGGGAAATCCACACACGCTCGCGCAGGGAAAGGGGGAAACGGGTGGGCCGGCCGGCTCCCCTCTCCTCTTTGTGTGTGTGTGTGTGTGTTTGTCTCTCTCTCTCAATTCTCCCCCACCCCAAAAGCGGGGAGGGGGCGACCTTGCAAAAGGGAGGGGGCTGCTCCCGGTTGCGGGGAAGGCTGGAGGTGTGCCTTTCTCGGCCAGCCCAGGTAAATTTGGCCGTATTCTTCAATACGGGCCGGCCCCAGCAGTTCCGGCTGGTTGCTGGCAGTTGGCTGTTCCTCCCTGGCCGCCTCGGCCCCCCGGTGAGCGCCCGGTAGGGCGCAGCATTGCCAGGCCTCCCCCCTTCGCGCGAGGCGTCTGGCGTTCCCCCTCGCGCTTGGCTGCGGCGGCCCGGGGTATTCCGTCCCAGCCTCGACACGCAGTGCCGCAGGGAACGGAAGGGAAGTGGGGAGGGCCGTACCTGGAGCATCACATGAAGAATTGGCTGAAGAATACGGCCAAATTTACCCGGGCTGGCCGAGAAAGGCGCACCTCCAGCCTTCCCCGCAACCGGGAGAAGCCCCCTCCCTTTTGCAAGGTCGCCCCCTCTCCGCTTTTGGGGTGGGGGAGAATTGAGAGAGAGAGAGAGAGAGAGAGAGAGAGAGACAAACACACACACACAAAGAGGAGAGGGGAGCCGGCCGGCCCACCCGTTTCCCCCTTTCCCTGCGCGAGCGTGTGTGGATTTCCCCCCCTTTTTTTCTTCCCGCCTCTCTCACCCGCCCGCCCGGTTCTTTTCCCCAGTTCTTTGTGGACTTACAATATCCGAGCACCGTTTAAAGAGACGCCGAAGGAAGACGGTGCCCAGGGTTATTATACTTTTAAAAAAACCCACTAAATTACACCAGAAGTGGTGCCTGACACAAGAGTGAATAGTCATTATTCCATAGAACAGATGCTACTGTAGGAAAGCACAGTAGCTCTAATGTTGCAAAGTGGAAAGCAAAGCATAAAAATAAGGCCCAAGGGGCTGAGTTTGATGTAAATTGAAATGTTATTTAAGAGTTTTAGGGTGCTAAATATAGATGCAAATAGCATATATTATTCTATATGCTGGCAAGTATCTTTCCTCACACCCCTCCCATTCTCTATTTTTTATTTTTATTATTTATTAATAAGGGGCTACAGTATTTATAAACATTTAAAAACACTAAAATAATACAATAAGCCACATTGCTGGTAGCAAGTTTTTTAAAAAAACCCTAAGCATTAACTGCTGATACTGATGGCCAAGGGCTTATCTAGAAAAAAATTTCATCCTTGGCCTTTAAGACAACAAAAGTCTTTGGCAGGATGAAGTGGAGGAACAAACCTTTGCATTTGTGTTCTAGTACTCTGAATTGAACTCAGAAACACACCACAAATGGAGCTCCTGTAAGGTAGAAGCCCTCCATTCAAGAGACTTCACTCCTAGTTACCAGATGGATGTGTATTTTATTAACAGTATAGAAATAGTGTATCTTTGTGATCGTACAGAATTTTTTCAATTTCCTAATCTAACTTAAAATCCTGGAATTTCCTGGTGGTTTTCATCCAAAAACTAATTAGATATGATACTGCTTAACTTTTTGAGATCAGTCAAGATCATCTGCATGAAGCAAAATGCAAATTAAATCAGAGGCGCAGTCAGAATTACTGAACTGTATTACTTACCAATTGGAGACTTTCAAAGTCCATCATGTTTCAGTATTTAATCTGGAATTATCATGGCATGATTTCACTGTAATTAGTTACATCTTGTCACATAGTTTTGGGAATCGGATTGTATTTTGAGAAACCATAGATTTATTGCCCAGAAAGGGAATAGGTCCCTCTGTCTCATCCCAGCAGAGCAAACATGATTATCTATACCTACCTCATTGTCATGGGGTGGCAGCTGATAGAGAAGCTGCTTAATTCGATATTGGACTGTTAACATATGGGACCTTCTCCTCTGACAGGCAAGCAAAGTAAAGCTGAACCTGAATTAGAAGCCAAACACACATCTGATTCATGCACTTCCTTGTAAGAAATCTTCATCTGCTATCTTATATACCGTATATTCCGGCGTATAAGACAACCCCCAACCTTTCCAGTTAAAATATAGAGTTTGGGCTATACTCACCGTATAAGACTACCCCTCTTCCAACGCACACCAAATAAAAATTAAAGAACATCAGATTTGATTTCAATATGGTAATTTTAATTCAAATGCTTATGACATGCAGGTACTTAGCAGGAAAACTGTCACTTATAAACATAAGGCTGTTTGTCATCAAACATGTAAACATAAAACAGTGCAAGTAGATTAAACTTTTCCTAATTCATTCTAAAGCTGAAAGGAAGGATAAGACAATAAACCCATGGGAGCTGCCATGCTGTTTGTTTTCTAAGCCAGGGCTTTTCAACCTTTTCACCGATTGTACCACTTTTAGAATATGGCAACATTCGAGTACCACCAGTCACCCAGCAAGGTGTCAAAAGCTTGATGACAAAAAAAAAGGAAAAAAGTGATAAAGTACAGGTAGTCCTCAACTTACAACAGTTTGCTTGGTGACTGTTTAAAGTTACAACGGCACTGGAAAAAGTGACTTATGACCATTTTTCACACTTATGCCCACTGCAGCATCCCTAGGGTCATGTAATTTACATTTGGATGCTTGGCAACCAATTCTTATTTATGATGGTCACATTGTTCCAGGGTCATGTGATCACCTTTTGCAACCTTGTGACAAGCAAAGTTAGTGGGGAAACCAGATTCACTGAACAGCCATGTTACTAATTTAATCTCTCTCCTTCTTTCTTTCTCTCTCTCCCTCTCTTTCTTTCTCCCTTTCTCTTTCCCTCTCTCTCTTTCTTTCTCCCTCCCTCTCTCTTTCTCTCTCCCTTTCTCTCCCTGTCTCTTTCTTTTTCTCTCTCCCTGTCTCCCTTTCTCTCTCCCTCTCCCTCCTTCTTTCTCTCTCTCTCTCTCCCTGTCTCCCTCTTTCTCTCTCCCTTTCTCCCTCTCCCCTTTCTCTCTCTCCCTCTCTCTATTTCTCTTTCCCTCTTTCTCTCCCTCTATTTCTCTCTCCCTCTCAAAGATCCTTAAAATCCTTAAAAGTTATGCTTGGGCAGAAGACTTTTTCTTTTACAGATGGGGCAGGTGGGCCTGACATTCGCGCGCAGGCAGGACCCCGCCCGCCGAGCCACCGCTTCCCCATCGCCCTCCACGCCAGCCGGCTCTGTCTCCAGACCTCCCAGCTGACGGGCGCAGGTCCGGGGGTCACCAGCTGACGGGCGCAGGAGTTCGGCACTGCAGCAGCCTCCCCTTCGCCCTCTGCACCGGCCAAAGCGTTGCCTGACGTTCCAGCTGACGGGTGCAGGTCTGGGGGTCACCAGCTGATGGGCGCAGGAGGTAGGCGCCGCCGCGGCCTCCCAGCCGCTTGCTTCTTCGGCTGGAGCAGTTGCAAGGGCTTGCAAGGGCTTGCAAGGGCTGCTGACGCGCTCTCCACCGCCGATCATGCAAGCCCTTGCAACTGCTCCAGCTGAAGAAGCAAGCGGCTGGGAGGCCGCGGCGGCGCCTACCTCCTGCACCCGTCAACTGGCGACCCCCGGACCTGCGCCCATCAGCTGGAACATCTTTGGCCGGTGCGGAGGGCAAAGGGGAGGCTGCTGCAGCGCTTTGGCCGGTGCAACGCTTTGGCCGGTACGGAGGGCAAAGGGGAGGCTGCTGCAGCGCTGAACTCCTGCGCCCGTCAGCTGGCGACCCCTGGACCTGCGCCCGTCAGCTGGGAGGTCTGGAGACGGAGCCGGCTGGCATGGAAGGTGATGGGGAAGCGGTGGCTCGGCGGGCGGGGTCCTGCCTGTGCGCGAATGTCAGGCCCACCCGCCCCATCTGTAAAAGAAAAAGTCTTCTGTCCAAGCGTAACGCCAGCAGTTCTGTGCCACAGAGGCTTGAGACACGGAGGCGCGGGACGTGGCGTGGTGCGGTGCGGTGGGAGGCGGCAGGACGGGGGAAGGGGTTACCTGCATCCTGCCAGCCAAACTCTGGAAGCCTGCCTGAATACCCGTATTTTCCGGCGTATAAGACGACTGGGCGTATAAGACGACCCCTGACTTTTGAGAAGATTTTCAGGGTTTAGAAAGTCGTCTTATACGCCAGAAAATACGGTATTTTATTTATAGGGTATGCTAAGTCTATTTTACTTTTTACTTTTTTTTGCATCTTTAGCAGAATTTGCATTTCTTTTTTTAGAAAGAAGAACTAAGCTAACTAAGCAGAACTACATTACCTAAGATTATTAGCACCCAGCTGTTGAATTGCTTCCCTGGAATGCAATTTTCAGTGGCAATTACAGCTGCCATTATGCACATCTCACTTCCATCTTCTTCAGAATAGTTAGCAGGTTGGTTAAAATTCCACATACTCTCTCTGCATTTTATTATACAACAGTGTAAAGCTACCCAGACAAGTGTAGGGTTTGCTCCCTGTTTATATACGATAACTTGCCCTGCCAGTTTTGGTAGAAGTGTGGTTTTCTCCTTGATAAGGATATTGTTTTCTGTTTGATTGATTGCCTGGTATTAATCCTTACTTATTTGGGTATTCACTGCTGGAAAGGATGTGTTCTGATCTTTTTCTTTCCTTCTTACTTTATTGTCTCTTGAATGGTATGTAAATACGGTTTTTTTCTATATGTCTACTGATGGCTTATTTGTCTGAATGCCAAGCTTCCAGGAATTCCTTGGATTCAGCTTGGTCTAGGATGCTCATAGCTTCTCAATTGATATGAAGAGAATATCTGTAGCTCAGGGTTGAAAGGTTGAGTTCTTGGTGCTGAGCTTGGTTGTTTGCTTGCAGGCTTCCTTCACTCAACCAGGAAACATTATCAGTGTGAGTGAATGTGTGATTTATTCCCTATTTACAATTCAGTACAATAGTTTGCCCAGCCCCTTTAATGGTGTGGTTTCCTCCAAGATAGTTCCTTGATTAGGGTATTGTTTTCTGCTTTATTGTTTGCATGGTGTTAATCCCTCCTTATCTGGTTATTGGCTGTTGAGGAAGATGTGTTATGGTCTTTTTGTATCCTTCTTAGCTTACTTCAAAGTTTACTTATCTTTTTTAATCATGAAAATGCTACCATATAAAACCTAAATAATAAAAATAGATTTTAAGGGTATCACTTTTTTTGTCCATTATTTATATGAAAAAAATGAAGATCAAGGTAACCTAAGTACAAAATTACTTTCTGAATATACAGTTGAAACATAAGCAAGTTAATATTTGCCCTTACCTGTTCTGGTCTAAGACCTGGAGGAACCCAGACATATTCTTCTAAGGCACATCCAGAATCATCATCTGAAGTTGAACTTCGTTGGAAGCCAGATGTACAATTGCCAACTTTTGGCTCCATTTCCTCTTTATGCAGGTCAGTGGAACAGTATCAAGATGTTCAGTTGTAGATCATCAATTAAGAGCTCTAGAAAAACACAGATCAAAAGTTAAATATTGCAATAAAAAGCATACTGTAGCTATTACTTCAAAACACACAGATTTCATACTATCTCTGGTCCTATACTTGTATTTTATTTTAGGTTATTTTTTCAAAGTGGTAAAATGCTTTTCCAATCATGTGGAGTGTTTTAGTTCTGAAATAGAAGAAGACAGAAGTGAGGTTCTACATGCTAACCATGCTCTAATGGGCAAAGAAAAAATAAAAATATTTTTGAGATTAAGTGACTTTATATGCAGATTAAGCTTTAATATGTTATAGTATAATTTAGGAAAAATGCTTTTTAATTAATCATGTGAAAATATGAACTGGAATTGCAGGCTTCCCATTTGATTTTCCCCCTTCACTCTCACGTGTTGATTAAAATTTTAATTTAAACCATGGTTTAAGATCCTGGATATCCACTATAGAAACATTTTTTTCATATAACAGCAATAATGGGAATAAATTATAGATTAAATTGGTGATATTGAACACTGAGCATTGAAAACACAGATTAGAAGAGTGAACAGGAATGGCAAGTTTAGGCATCAACCCTTGGCCTCCAGCCACCCACCTCAGCCAATTTACAGTCAGCTTTCCTCCTCCACTGGCCCTCCACTGGCCATTCTCCACAGTCCATGAGCCCTGGCCCTCCGCCCCTGGCCCTTCATTATTGCCCTTTTGCCCAGACAATATTTGACTCAGGCCTTTGGCTGCACGGGACAAATAGCCCCCAGCCAATCGGGTGGCAGGCAGAAGCAATGGTGCTGTTGGGGCAGCATGCGATTGGCAATGGGCAGGGCGATCACAGAAGCTGGGGAGTAGGCAGTGTGCAATGCAAGATTTTAAAAAAAACTGCAGCTGCTCAGCAAGTTTTTTTTAAAGGGGCTATGCTTTTGGATCACTTGGGTGGCTCTAGAGCATGGTTCTGACAGGTTGTGCAGAGGGGGATGGGACTCAAGTTATAAAAGGTGTCGGAAACAGCAAAATTGCAGTGCGAAAGCATTCCACTGCTGGGGACCAACAGATCTGTCACCAGAACTGGAGGGGAGGGGGAGTGGCGGCAGGAGTAGCAGCTGCTGGGGCCACTGGAGGGGCAGACAGTGAGAGTGGGTTGGGGTACCAGGAAGGGAGGCAGGGGCGGCTCTAGAGGGCTTCGCAGAGACAGCTTGGCTCACAACTCTGCCAGCTCTAACAAGGCAGGAAATGAAAGGGAGGAGGAAGAACCAGCCTGGCACGGTTGCTGGCATTGTGGGGGGGGGCACGGTGGTGGTACGTGGTGGTGGGGCAGCTGAACTGGCCGTTAGGCATCAGGCCAGAGTCCAGGTACAGAGGCAATGGGGGGGTATCAAAATGGGAAGCTGCTGCTCCATAGTTTTTTTTAAAAAAAAGCTGGCACCAAGTGCCTGGCACTCCATAGTCCAATTAAGCAGCTGACTGTGCTTGGGTTTTCATGCAAAAAAAGGGGACAAATTGCCGGTAAAAGTTAGGGAATCCTAGGAAGCTTTGGAGTTGCTTTCTCCAGCAAGGAGGGCCCACTCTAGTACTGCTTTAATCTTTTCTGGGTCCATCTCCACCTCTTCATTTGCGATCCAGTACCCTAGGTATTCAATTTTGTTTTTGTGGAACTAGCACTTTGAGAGCTTAGCATACAACCCAGTTGCCTGCAGTTTATTTAATAATGCTCACATGAGTTTGACATGCTCATGCTTTGTCTCTGGATAAATCAGAATGTCGTATTCAGGATGGGCCATCCATGGGTGTTGCAGCTGTAGGGCCTGGCCAGGTCGATTTCCACTTCTTCAGCTAGCATGCACCACTGGCAGAGGGTGCAGGAGGCTCCCCTGGAGATGCAGGTGTTGTACACATCGTCATTGAGCCTATCTTGGAAGAATTCTTTTTTTAATATATAAATATTTTATTAATTTTCTATTTTTACAATCAAATGTCTAATAGAAACGTGATGACTGAGTCCATTAGTGATTCCATGGTACATGTAAGCTTCTTCAAACTAAATCCAATATTACATCCTCCAATACATCCTCTCTTCTTCTGGTAACAGACTTTTTTCCACACTAAGCAAATACAATTCTTATTGTTGTAAATATACAATTGCCTATCAACATTTGTTACATTTTTCTAATAGTGTCAATAATATCAGTTTAGAATATCTTTTCTAACCAAAGCATATTTTAATTGCATTTGCACTCAATATCCATTTATTCAGTTCATATCCTATTTTTGCTTTTTTCAATTTTAATTTCCCATCCATGTTCAAAATATCCCAATCATTTATAATTTCAGAACAAGTTATATTTGGGGAACCAAAAGTTTCCCTTATTCAAAGTTCTTAGCATATTCTTATTTTCCTTTTCATACCAAGATATGATATTCTGATTACAAATCCTATCTATCTAGTTATAATAATACTTCTATTTCTAGCAATCTATTCTTAACCATATTCAAACAACTGATTGGTAATATAACATCCCCCCTAATAGGTCAAAGCTTCTGTTTCCTTCAGTCTTACTTTAGCTTTCTTCCTTTTTCAACTAACTTTCCAAGTCAATGCATTTGGATCATCAAATAATTTTTCCTCTATTTTTATGTATATTATTTGAAACAAGAGAAACAATTTAGTTAAAGTATTTTTGGAAGAACTAGCCTGTTGATATTCATTAAATAGCCTCCCTCCTTCTCCAGTTCCCCACAGTTCTATTAACAGCTTGATCTTCCATTCCATCAGCTCTCCTTCCTTATCCTCCAGTGTGTTCTGAAACCTTGATTTGTAAAATGTCTTTTCCATTTCCAATATTATTGTTGTGTCTTCTAAGTCTTCATTTATCTGAGTCTGGTCATTAGTTTCTTCCTCAATGTTTGTGTCAGCATTCTCTAGTTTTCCTTCTATTTTCTGGGTTGCTGGTTCCTTCTCTGTAGTTATTTTCTTTTATCTCCTTTGTGTTATTTTTAATCTCATCACAAGCTAAAGCAATTGTTTCTTGTATTAATTTCAACATGGAGAGAATTTCTTTCTGTGGTTCATCAGTATTTTCTTGGTGATATGGCAAACTGAGGCTTCTGGAGACAGGTGTTAAAGATGGTTTTTTACTATTTAAAGCTAAGTATGGAACATCTATTTTATTTTTGTAAGTAGCCTTTAAAAATTTATCCAACCAACTAGCCATTCTTAAACCTCCCCTAAGCAGATATAAGTAAAATTCAAATTTTTCTGTCCAATGAGAAATATATCCTTTCTGTCCAGGGAGAAAAAAGAACCATTAAAGGTTGTTTAACAATCAAGATTTATAATCCAAAGTATTCCATCATATCAGGCAATAGTGTATGTTTCTTCTACAGGAAAATAGTTCCACAGTACAGTTCTGAAAGTCAGTATTTGTGTTCATAGTTCAAACAGGCCAATTTTAGAGTAATATTATTGCCTCTGCCACATAGATAAGCAGCCTCCAAGTCTGTTCTTTTTTCTCAGCTGCAATTCTCAAAAGTAAAAGCTTCCAAGGCCAACCAAAGTCTTATCTAACTCTGGGCTTCAAGCCAGGTTACTTTTAGGCATAAATAAGTTGTAGTGCCGTACTTTACCACTAGATGATATCAACACCGTTTTTCAGTTTTTAAATCCAAAACTTATATTGTAAACTTTTCAAGTCTTTCTTTTAAAAAAAGGTCTTAAAACACTTTTAGTCCCCAAATTTCCAAGTCATATATGACTGGCTACGCTACTGTAGCCAGTCTTTTCCCCACCAGTTTGGAGGGCTTCCTTGGATCAAATGGGGGGCATCAGGGTCCCCTCCTTGCTTGCCGCCTCTATGGGATGATTTTCGACCCTTTCCAGGGTCCCCCAGCGGGGCGAAATCAAATGCGAAAGATGGAGCCCTGTCTTTCTGCGTCTGCATCGCTGCAACATCAAAACCAGAAGCCTATCTTGGAAGCATTCTATTAGGATGACTTCTGGCCAGTTGGCGAGTTGACAGGCCTGTTTGCAGAACTCCTGGTTGTAGGCAGCTACTCCTCTGCTGCCTTGATTGATAGTCTTGATGCAAGTTCACACTTTGCGTTAGGCGAGTGGAGCCTTGAATCATTTGCACAGGACTATTGTGAATCAGTCGAAGCTCTGGAGTTCTGGCACATTGTCATTTTGGAGAGAGACCATCTACTTCAGTATGGGCCTTCCAGGGCCATGGTCATGCATCTGACCCCGGCTGCTTCAGTGGCAAGGCATGCTCCATATTCCTACATGTAGTTTTACACCTGGGCGAGGAATATGGTCTCCTCCATATTTCAAACCCAGGGCAGAGGGTCTTGGCATCCCCTGCCTCAGGAGGATGGGGCCCCTGGTGGGACAGGCAGCCTGGCTTGAGCTGCTGGTGGCGGGGCAGTCTGGGCCAGTGTGAGTCCAAGTGGGATTGCTGTCCCTCCAGTTGTAGCCGCTTGCACTGTGGCTCCATCTCCCGCTGGCCCTCCAGAGGTCAAGGCTCGGCCAGTTGGGCGAGGAGTTCCTTGGTTTGCCAGGTTCCAAAGGCGTCTCTCAGCACCTTTCAGACTTGTTCCACTAGATTTTCCTGCTCGTCTACCCCTCCCCCGAAGCGCTTCTTCACCCTGGCCCCCATGCCACTCTCGTCTCCTGGTGTCTTGGCCCCCTCAGAGGCCAGAGAAGGAGGAGAAAAAGTTGGAGCTGGTCGTCCAGCAGGGAAGGCACACCAGGGGCTGAGGATGGTGCTGTCCTGGGCCCCTCAGGCATTGGGGAAGGTGGTTGACCAGACAGAGAGCTGCCTGCCTGCACAGACACAGGGGAGGATTGGCTGCCTATTCCACTTGTCTGATGAGGAGCAGCTGCTACTCCACTCAACCCAAGGGCAAGGAGAATGGAGCATAGGCAAGCCCAGAGAAGGATTGCAAGGCTA